GTTATTGATGTTACGCAGCCACAGGCAGCAGTTAAGGAGCAGTCGTGAAATTGTTTGGTTCCAATAAATTTTACAGCACTTGAATGCTTTAAATTCGCACCAGGGAAAGAATGCTTGAAACTTGTTACGAAAGTCTGTTTTGCGATCCGATAGTATGCACAGGCAGACCGAGAATTCACAGCAGTAGCTAGTGGCCTTGGGAATGTCTTTGAGAACTACTTTACGGACTATCCACTCAGTTTATTTGGTCAGAGTTATAGGTAATGCTTTTGAAAACCCTGTTGTTTACGTACCGTTGCATCATATACATATGTACACACATCCTCAAAAATGTCACTATTATAGTCGTATTTACATAATGTAAGCAGCTTTGTTTCTAAAAATGAACCCTGTCTGTAGTGGGAGTGGTATTAGTTCAGGTTCAGATTGTCGAAGGAAAACAAGGTACAAAAATAATAATCAACAAGGCCTCTTTGATGGTTGTACACTGCTCCCCCCCCCTCCCCACAGTAAGCTTGGATCATCCTCTGAAGAGTGAACCCGTCTGCTTGGAATAATATTTATCCGGCGTGGATGCGCTTTTTATTGCTACATCTCTCTCTCTCTCAGAGGCTTGAATCAATGGACAATGGAAAACCAGTCGACGCGGCCTCTGCTGACGTGCGGTTTGCCGTCCAGCTAGCTCGTTACTTCGCCGGCTATGCTGACAAAATCCACGGCAAGGTTATTCCCGCTGATGGTAACGTGGTCTGCTGGACACGTCATGAGCCCGTTGGTGTAGTTGGAGCCATCATTCCCTGGAATTTCCCTTTCCAACTAGCTCTCCTCAAGATCGCCCCCGCAATAGCCTGTGGTTGTTCCATTGTGCTGAAACCCGCTGAGCAAACCCCCCTCACTGCCATCTTCCTTGGTTCGCTTGTAAAGCGCGCCGGTAAGTGCCCCCTTTCAAGTCAAATCATTCCCTCTCCCATTGCCTTTTATCTATCTGCATCTATTTGTCCAGACCGCCAATAAGTGCCTCGAAAGTGTGCTTTTTCCCTATCTGATTGGTCTTTCGGCTGCTATCATCCAAACTAACCATGAAAAAATGACTGACGGTCACCATCTGCATGCCTATCGTAGGCTTAATCTGCCAAAAATCAGCAGCCCTCTCTAGCTTTTCTATGGGATGGTCATTCGTAAACGCCAGGAGTTGTGATGCATATTATGCGTTACGATGCGTGTTAGATAATCTAAGAAACCGAAAGACCTACACTTTTTATGTTCGGCTGTCAACTTCTTCCCTTAGACGTGCGTTCATGCTCGCAAAGGCCAAGACCCGGCTCGTATGTGTGAGCAGCAAATGATCACTCTTTTGCTGCTGATGCTGCTGCTGCTGCTGCTGTTACTGCTACTATATCAAACGACAAACTCCTGTACATGTTCGAAAGCTAAGAATAGTAGAAAATACCTTCCGGTGCTCGGCCACTCTTCTCTCTTACTCGTGCAAACGCGAACCTTCGCATTCGTTCGAGAAATGACAATGTCGAACTCCCTTGGCCCTTTTGGTACGTCTGATTACTGGTCGCTGTACCAGTGCTTGCAAAGACTATAGATTGAACTCCAACATTCACGAGAAAGAGCACGTCCTGTAAACTGATTGATAAACGCTCTTCCTAGGATTTCGTACTAGCAGCGAAGAGGCGAGTACTGGGAAGTATTCGAGAATTGCTAGATGGATTCGAATAGGAATCCGAAAAGTCAGACTAAATACAGTTCTTGTTCCAGTGATCGTACCCCTTTTTTCCTGCGATTATCAACCCTGATAAGGTGCAGACCTAGCTAGGCGGAAGACTTGAAACGGAGCCGAGTGTTTGCTGTCCTCAGTTATTACGAATTTCAGTCTCTTTAAAAGCACGTCATCTTAGTTGTTATCAGTCATTTTAAGTACACTTGCATCGACAACTTATGGTCTGAAAATTGCCGGAAAAGGCAGAAGAGTGGTCATTTCTGGCTCACCAGCCAGCCATACCGAACCCCAAATTATGCACCACCTGAGTCTCGAACTCGTGATCGGCTGATCAGAAGTCGCACGCTCTAACTCTTGAGATACCACCTGGAAATAAATGGCACCGACTGATGAAGGCTAATAAAACCGAAATAGTTATTGCAGTCTTCCTTGTTTTCGTCGGTAATGTCATTATGCCTAGAGTAAGCGCCAGAATTCGTGCAACATGCCGACATATGCGAAAGATTGGTTCTCTTTCGCTAATCGGCCTTGACTCAAGTTGTGATACTGATTATCGTGTAGTCTATTCTGAAGTCATTTCAGTCATGATAGGATGTCGGCTTTTAACGAGTTTTTTTCTGACCGCTAAAAAGTACATGTTGTAAAAAGTAACTACGTAAACAGTATACGTATTTATCATTGATTTTGACTGCCTTTATAAATTCAAATATAAATTATGGAAAGCGTAAACGAAATAATTATTTATTTTACTCGTTTGGTAGCAAATTACACCTTTAAATGTTATACCTAAAAGAACGGGTATCTTTCGGTTTTAATACAATTTCTAATTATGAGCTTTTTTATGACTGGTGTTCGTTCATAATACATCGTGTCCGTCAATTTATTAATGCTGCCTATTCTGTATAAAGCATGTTCCACACGTATTGCAACATTTTATGAGAACTGTTTGACTTCTCCCTCAAACTGTAGGCGAAAACGTATATTTCTTTAAACAGGATGTACACAGTGCGCAGTCTGTAAACGTTGAATTCGAGTGTAGCGGTCAGTAGGTTTCAAAATTATTCGGCAATTAAGAAACTTTTTAAAACCAAAAGATACCCTTTCTTTGAGCATAAAATTTAAAGAAGGCGTCATTTGCTAACAAACGAGTACAAGATAATTTATTCGTTTAAGTTTTCTATATAATATAAATGATAAAAACGCATACTATTTAAGGAGTTACTTTTTACAGTACATACGTTTTGTTAGCGGCCAGAAATAAGCTCGTTAAGAAGCCGACATCCAATCATGACTGAAATAACTTGAGAATAGACAACACGTTAATCAGCATCACAACCTGTGTCAATGCCGATTAGCAAAAGATTATCAATCTTTCGCATACGTCGGCATGTTGCACGAATTCTGGCGTGTACTGTTTATCAATAGCCGTTGTGCGGCTGATGGTGTGGCTTTCGAGGAAGAGGGAGAGAGCACCAAGGCACGGCATCTTTTTAGCCTTCACACTTTCAGATGCTTGGAAGGGATTGGCTTAAGCCATTTATGATTTGTCTACTGACGCAACCCATTAAGGGAATACTGCCTTCGTTTGCGAATCGCGTCCCTTTTACTTAGGTTGTTGCTCTCTCTCCTTTCATCGATTGTCAGGTTTTCCATCCGATTGCACAACCTTCCTCCTCCTTTTCTTGGCCAATCTATGTTTTCTCCTTTGCCAGGCTTCCCGCCGGGTGTGATTAACATCGTTCCCGGATTCGGTGAGACCGCTGGCGTTGCCCTGGTAACCCACCCCGATGTCAACTGCGTCGCCTTCACAGGCAGCACCGTCGTTGGCAAACTGATC